CCGAGATTGCTACCGACATTCTTAGGCGCAATTACGGAAACGCCAAGGCCGGACGCTTTGCGCGACTTGGTAGTGCCTCGTGGAGAACTTCCGAATGCCCCAGTATTACCTACTCCTGAACCCGAAGTCTTGGATGGGTTCTGGGAATAGCTGGCCGGAGCCAGTAGCCGACAGAATTTGTCGACGTCATTTTCCCAGTAGTATTTCCAAAGTAGATGACTCATGTGTATATTATAAGGTGTCGTTCAAAGCACTTCAAACTACACCTCGCTGTGAATCTCGAGGGATCACGGCCTATTTAAAGGTGCGATTGGAAGCGCTTTGAATTGACAAGGTGCTGGAGGAGGTTATCCCGCTGCGAATGATCACCCAGAACTCGAGACTATAGCGACGTATGCGCAGATTCAAGCTTAAGGGACCGATACGGGATACTACGGGGGGACGAATCGGGAACAGCGTTAGATTGCGACTTCGGTTTCGACTATGCGAGACAAGACGTTGTGAAAACGGATATCGCGCTTCGGGCGTAGCAGATAAGTCGTATCGGTTCAGTTGTACTTATCAGGAGCCGCCAAGGGTATTCGATCGATCGTTGCTTCGTTAAGGGGTTGCCATATGAATACGCAGCGAATAGTATACTTTATAATCCGTAGAAGGTCCACCTACAGTAGCCGGCCCAAGATGATATATTACGGAAATGGCGTCTTGCTGAGCGTATGTGTCATAAACGGTCATAAATGATGGAGGATGATAATCGAAGTGCATAGACGAAGATAGGAAAGGACGGGGACGCATACGTAGGTAGGAAGTAGCTTAGAAGGTACCCTGCCTATCTGCGGTTTGTGCGCAAACCCCGCGACGCTACCACGCTATAGATAGAAAATCGGGTCATCGGAGACCTTATTTTAGGCCAATCATAACTCTAACCGACAGGGCATGGTAAATCCTCAGGGTATCAAGTCCTATGTATTGTATGTACATACGTACCTTAAATACCTAAACTTAATTCTCGAACAAATGAGCCTGGAACTGTTTGAACAATTGCATGCATGTGGTGTTTTAAACAAAATTTAACCAATCAGCACTACACGTACGCCTTTCTAAACATTTAATATATTTAAAGCCACGAGTAGGTGAAGTCATACCTACCTGAATAAAGTCTATACTATGTAAACCAATTGTCGGCCAACTGCTGGTTATTGCTCACGCTTCTGCAAGCTATTGGATGATGTGGAGTTCGCATGCATATATCCCCTAAAGAAGTCCCCAGTGTAAGCTCTGGTCTTCACTACATTAGGCATATATGAACGAACAAGCAATGGCGGCAAGTCTCAGCCGGTCAATAAGGCTACGAATAGGAATCCATACCGAGAAATCGACTTGGCATTGCAGGTACCTACCTATCTATGTGAGCCTTATTCCGCCTGAAAGTATTAGGTATATCTCCCATATTTATATGTCCAGTGTAATTATTTATCTATCTACCTACCTCCTAACCTATGTTCTCGAACTTTTTCGGTTTTGATGGTGTGATAAATGCAAGGGCAGCTGTAAGGTTAATATTTAATATTACAGAGTGTTTATTAGATAGTACCTAAGATGGTTGATTTACTTACCTCCAAGGTAGATAAATATATCTAAGAAATGTCTTTTACTTATAATACAGAAGTGAGATACAAATCTCCATAGTTAATAGACAACTTATTGACCGAGTAACTTATAACATGCTTTGATCTTGTTTTCTTGTTACAGTTGCACTATATGGTACGACTTCGGGCGTTCAAGACAAAGGACCACCGTTAAAACAATCAAATATCCTGTCAGCTTTGGTGATTAGGCATATTTAAGCGTTAAAGTAACACTCAGGTACGTAATGTTAATAGATAAAAGGATTACCTAAGTCCCTCTAGATTTAGGGTTATTTGCAGTGGGGTTTACTGATAACGCCGATCCGGCGGGCATATGGCGTTCTGGGGTTAGCGGGTTGTAAAGTATGCGCCGCCATCGCAAATGATAATTCGAAATTCGTTTCTTGTCAGATCAAATAACCGCCAGTACCCGAATATATGTATTATTTACCAAAACACACCTCTTCTTCTACTTTGAATTGAATCGTAACGCAAGTCATTCACCGCATATCTCAGAGGTTGAATTCGCCCAAGATGTCTCAGGATCAACCACTTCCCTTTGTATACACCTTTGCCGCAGGTTCGTCGCATCCTAAGCGTTTCTACAGATCACCATGCCGCATGAACTAACAACTTAACTTAGGTGCCATTGCTGGCATCTCGGAGGCAAGTAACACATAGACTCGAACTCCCCGCGCATAAACAGCAAGCTAACCTTATACTTTTTTCTTTCAGATTCTGACCATGTATACCATGCCATACCCCGCTTGAGTCTGTCGCGTGCGCATCGTTGACATAGACTAGGTACCCTCTGGATGTTGTGAAAACCCGAGTGTGAGCGGCAGTAAGACCCTATAGCTCCCATGTCCGAGGCTTACCATAAAACAGGCAACTCCAAACCGGCAAGGGAACCAGCGCAGACTCGTACAATGGTATGGTAGACTGCTTCCAGAAGATCGTTCGCAATGAAGGGTATGGTGACCGCCCGACACTTATAGTTCTTAGACTCATCCGAAGTGCAGATTTTCGAGGTTATACAGAGGCATCACAGCCCCTATTCTGATGGAAGCTCCGAAGCGTGCCACCAAGTTTGCTGCCAACGATGAATGGGGCAAGTTCTACCGCAAAGCCTTCGGTGCCGAGAAGATGAACCAATCACTATCGATTTTAACGGGTGCCTCGGCTGGTGCCACTGAGTCTTTCGTCGTTGTACCCTTCGAGTTGGTCAAGATCAGACTGCAAGACAAGGCTTCTGCGGGTAAATATACTGGCATGATCGATGTTGTCTCCAAGACTATCAAGAACGAGGGTATTTTGGCCATGTACAACGGTCTTGAGAGTACTTTGTGGCGCCACATACTATGGAACGCCGGATACTTCGGTTGTATCTTCCAGGTTAAAGAACTTCTACCCAAGTCTGAATCCAAGAAGGGTGAGATCCTCAACGGTCTAATCTCGGGAGGAATTGGTGGTACTGTCGGTACGATAATCAACACGCCAATGGATGTCGTCAAGTCCCGTATCCAAAACAGCCCCAAGGTTGCCGGACAAACCCCGAAGTATAACTGGGCTTGGGGTGCTTGCGCTACTGTGATGAAGGAGGAGGGCTTTGGTGCCCTGTACAAGGGTTTCCTACCCAAAGTCCTAAGACTCGGACCAGGAGGAGGTATCCTTCTAGTTGTTTTCACTAGCGTTATGGTAAGTCTCATCATCCCCTAATCAACTTGTTTTGATCGGCCACTAATACAAGTTAATAGGATTTCTTCCGCTCCATGAAATAAATATAGATCTCCGGAATAGTCTCGATGCTCTATCAGGAATAGCTAGGCACTGACACCTCTCTGTTTGATTAGCGACTTATACATTGGCAGCCATACATGTGCCTATAGATAGCAGACAAGATACCTAGCATACGTCTTCCCGAAAATTTAGATCATGACCATCCTTTTCAACGTCGTTTGTTGACACATGGACTTATGATTGCACTTACCCGAATAGCTTCCAATTAAGAGATAGAAACTACCTACCTGCGAGGTAGGTACCAGCCTAACGGACTTACATCGGTGATTACCATATATATTGCAATTTCCTTTTCCCTCAATAATCTAGGTACCTTCTAACCAACCATCTACGACATATATATCTTCTAAGACGTCTTGATTGTGTTCTCTCACAACAATTACCTTTCTTAAACTTCACAACTCAGAGGACGATCTCTATGCCCTTTATAACTACCTAAGGTACCTGGGTAAGTAGGTAATTTAAACCATTCTTCTGACTTGACTTCTACCCTTTCCCTTTCAACCCGAATATATTTACCTTCCCACGGATCTATGAAAAGCAGTTCTAGTTGTCGAGCACGTTCTTTCTCTAACACCTATTAAATGGCATCTACACCGTGTATATTCGTTGCTTCTCTCCTTACACCCACAACCAGTCTTTTAATTTGAGTAGGAACTTTTTCCAATGTTTCTTCCCCCATAAACTTCGAATACTCCCTCATCACACACACACACACAATCCACCTGCTTCTTCTCTTCTTCTCTTCTGCCAAGCCATATCCGTTACTTTTACTCGATATCTGAGTTTCAAGTCTTTATTTCTCCCTTCTTACATCTACATTGACCCCTGTGCCACTCATCTACTCATAATTGAATACGTTCCTAACCCTGGTATTAGGTTGTTTGCATCGTCTTCACATCTTCACAAGTGGTAAGAAGTGACATCTATCCTAATCCAACATCGTTCTTGACCAACTTAGTAAGTTACTTGCTTTGAAATTCCCTTTATATCCTCTATTTCCATACATATACCTTCACCTTACGCATTTACCTCACCCCTATCACCAAGCACTCTTACCCAATTCTACGAACCATAACCGACTAAGTGACATTTTAAACATCCCCAAACCCATTCCTCCCACACATCAGTGTTAGAAGGTTATTTCCCTTGAATGTGCCACTTCATCTCCTTGCGCATTTAACATATCCAAGGTTACTCGTCTAATCGTCGTCTAATCGTCCTAATCTCAACATCTGCGGCTTGTCATCCTCCTCATGCAATAAAGACTTGAGTATTGAAATCCTCTACTTCCATGAGGTATTATTATCCATCATGATTCCCATTTCAAGCCCAATTGTTTTGCTGGTCTCACCTGCCACCTCGTGCAGTCTCAGCGCCTTCTCTCGTGATGACCTAACTGATGTGAAGGGCTTGTTGCTGACTATCAACTGACCTAGAGTTCTTGAATACTAGGAAGGTGAAACGTATTCATAAGTGTCTTTGCATTCCCGTGATACTTTATTCAACTCTGAAATATTGTCTACTTCACTCCTCCACGTAACTCATATTTCTCAAGCGACATAAATCAATATGTCTTCCGCACGTAGCGATAGTGCCGAGAATGATGATCATGAACGTGAATTAGAGGAAGAATTAGAAGATTCTATCAGTGAATGTGCACCCTCAGATGCCACTGAAGAGCAAATGGAAAATGACGACGGTAGGAGCTCGTCCCATTACTTGAAGGGGCGTAAAGCTAATTTTTACAGACGATAGATCGGTCGAACCAAGCATTCTTGATGACTTAAGTGAACCGGACTTCGACGAAGTCCGTCATGGTCGCAACTACGATCAAGTAAAAGATGCATATGATCGTCAGCAGAGATGCATCGAAATGCTGGTCGATGATATTCGGGAGAAAAAACGAGAAATTAGGGGTAAGAATCGAGAACTTAAAGCGAAGACCCTCAAAATTCAACAACTGGAGAATCGTCTCGCCGGGATTAGTGAGCCTCCTGTGGTGAGTACCTCCGTTTGATCTCTTCTTCGTAAAGGGCCATACTCACACTCATATATAGCCATGGAGCCATCTACTAAGAGCATACTTTCAGGGCGAAGTATCATATTATAGCATACCCTATCGCCAATGTTGCAAACAGGAAAATATGTCGCAGAAACTATACATATTCCATCCTGACTTTTCACTTCAGGACGAGGAGATTTCAAAAGAGAGGCGCGCGATAGAAGAGAGACTAGTATTAGAAGAAAGGCGCGCGCGGCTTCTGGCACTGGAACGAGTACACGATGAAAGTGATATAGCTGAACCGGAGACTCCTCCTATGTCTTACTTCCCATTTCAAGAGCTTCCTTTGGAGATTCAGGTGAAGATATTCAGGCAACTGTTTGTCAAGGGTACTCTTATCCACTGCCTCTCTCGGTTGGACCCTTCAAACCCACCCGTTGCCTTCCCCGACAAGGATGTCGAAGGTGAAAGTCAACTACCAACCAGATTCCATTTTGGCAAGTCGCCATGTCAAATAATTCTAGCCTGCAAACCAAATGACGTGCTCAAACCTTTACTGGTCTGCAAACGCTGGTACTTTATCGGCGTCCATGCTTTCTACGGAGCGAATACCTTTGCGTTTAGCTCGCTCGGCGAATGGCATCGATTTTGCAATGGCATTGGCCCTGCGCGTGTTCAGCGGTTAGTGAACGTCGAATTAATGTGGCATGGATCTTTGATGCGTAGGCACGAGACCCGAATCTCGCAACGTTCGCTCGGTCTCAAGTGGTTTACCAAAACGAGACGCCTTCGCACACTGGTTGTTCACATAGCAGAATGTGATAACAGCCGGACAAGACGGAAATATGAGATACAGAAGAGGAAGAAGAAGAACCGTCAGCAAGTCGACAACGACGGAGACCGGCTTATCGAGGACCAGTCCGATGGATATCAATCAGATGGAGACGAGTCTGACGGCAGCCAATCTGATGTAGATCAAGATTTGGACAAAGGGTTTGATCCTTTCGAGACTATGGTTCGCCGTACTCTTAGACACCCGAATTACCGGAAGTTTCGATCAATGCGGACAGTTCAAGGGATCGATTATCTCTATCAACTACGAGCTATGGATTGGATCCGCTTCAAAGAGCGTAACGGCCTCGATCACCGCCAATCGATTCGGGATTGGTCGTTCCTAAAAGACCTAAGCACCGTCGTAACTCTGCCGAAGCAAGATGATCTTGCGCTCAAGAGCCATCTAGAGAATCTAACACCTCTAACGTGTTTGGAAGATTTTATCCCGTCGGGGGAAGATATGCTTATTATTAAGACATTTTACGACGAGACTCACATCCTAGGCCCAGTAGGTGGTTCCGAAACGACTGGATCAGCCAATGGCGCATTTAGCGATACTGCTTCCTGGGGTGGCACTAGTATCAGCGACTCGGATGATGATGATGATGATGATAATCCTCAAGACAGACATGTCCCTAATCTCCGAAACGCCCCCAATGCGCCAGTTCCAGAAATCATAGATTTAGATTCTAATCCCAACAGCGATACTGAGCCTGATAGTGACGATGACGATGATGACGCCGGTGGCTTTGGTGTATCAGATGTGTCACAAAATGCTACCACTATCACGTTAGTTGGTGCTTCACAGCAGCGTAATAACCGGACGCAAGGCGACGAGAGTGAAGGAGGCAGAATGGATATTGATGATGATGATGGCAGTTCCAGCGGTCTATTTGTTCGCTCCGGTTCAGGCTCGGGCAGTCCTCCAGCAGACCCAATGGAGATTGACGATCCTACCGAGCAGGTAAATCATGAGGTGATAGATCTTACTGGAGACCAGTTTGATGATGAAGATGATGAATCGTCACTTTTTGTTCGTTCCGAGCCAGATACCGGGTCCGTAAAAATAGAGCCCGAAGATGACGACCCTAACGACTTATATCCTCGTGAGGAAACCCCTCCGGGTAGCGATGATGAATCCGATATCTACCCCTATCCTATCCCCAGCGGTGCCTCTAACGCCAATTCTTCACCCAGACAATCGAGCGAAGGTGAAGCTCACTCTCATGACGAGGGACAAGCGGCAAAACGCCGTAGACTAGGGTGAGCAATGCCAATATGGCACACGCTTCTTTAGATTCACCAACCCCCTGGAAGAGAGGCAGTCGCTTCGCTCTTAAGATAAGACATACCTGGAGTCTTCTCTTTACATCTTCATATCATCTACAATCTAAGCCGCAACTACCTATGAAGTCATGCTTTAGACTTAGCCCAGTCTCCTATCTTCCTACTACTAGTCGTTTTTTCGCTTTAGTTTTCCGGTCCAAAATTATATCGGGACTTTCGAAATTATCGAATGTTTTCCCTTTCGACTTTCCAGCCTCGCCGGTATCAGACCAGGCAACTAAGGTGTCTTGCTGCTCAAGGTCAGCAGTCATCTACAACTCGTTTCTAGATATTTTCCAGATTATCCCAGCATAGCAGCCGGCACTTAGTCTCGAATCTACTGGAGAGTTTTTATACTTCGTCTTCACCTAGGTACCTAGGTCAGCCTACGAGCCACCAAAAACTTCTTTGTTCCCAATTTCAGATATTCATCATTCGCAAAACTTGCCTAGAAATCTACCGCACAGGTGCAATCTAGGAAGCATATTCTCAAACCACAGCACTGTATCAGTGCATCTTTACACTAACCATTTACCTATATAAGACTCATTCAATACGTCACTAGATCAGGGGAATGTTTCTTGCTACCACGAAGAAATCCAGGTTGGTGGACTTCTGAACATATATTACTACGATACAAGCAGTTTTGTCGTTATTGTTGACGACGTAGATATACGTGGGCTAGTTTGAAGGTTGCTAGGACTGAGATGATTTAAGAAGCCGTGCATGACCAGGAATGCGCTGAGTTGAAGTTGAAGAGCCACGAGGAGGGCACTTACGCCGAGATTTTTGCGAGTGCGGTTGTACGTATTCAGAGTAGTTCAAGTATATATAATCGATGATTTCTCACGATGAGTTTTGATTTTCCCAGTAGTCTTCGTAGCCTACTAGTATGGTATCTATTGAAGAGCTTACTGCTTAATCAAACACAACCTTACGCCCTTGAAATGCGACTTTTTGGCCTTCCTCCTTAGCCTTCTTGGCCGCGGCCCAACTTGGGTGTAAGAGACCCGTATCATCCCTCTTGGGTATTGCTTTCGGTTTTGGGTTGGTTTGTTCGCGGTCACCTTGGAGTTGCTGCTGGCGGTCGGGGTGGATGTGCTTGTTATCGAAGGGGTTCCGGATGCCTTTCTTCCAGGGCTTATTGGACCCCTCTTCGTCCCCTACGGCGCCTCGTCTCATGTCCCATCCCTGATCTCTGCCCGTTTTGGCTTCCTGCTGCTTCTGGACGTGCTTCGCCTTCTCCTTGTACTTCTTCTCCCAGATGGCTTGACGCGCCCGTTGCCCGCGCCGGTTCTTGCGCGCGGGGGCGAGATCGAGGTCGGAGGCTTCTGATTCGGAGCCTGATATGTAGCCGCCCATCAACGAAGGTAGGAATGCTGAGTTGCCGGGTATTATTGCGGCCGTCTTTGCGACTTTGGCCCTTTTAGGTGGTGGAGATGCGGATACGGAAATTTGGCTGTCTACATCTTCTAGATCTTCTTCCTCCTCCTCCTCCTCCTCTTCTTCTTCTTGGTCTGATTCAGATGATCCGACTGATGATATAGAAATGTCGTCGGCCGTCGTTTTTCGGAGCGATTTCGTCCTGCTGTCTGCGATGAGTTCATCGTCTCTACTACCATCATCTCCTGATTCGTCCTCTTCGCTAGAAGAGCCTGCCACAAAGCCATCGTACCGCGACCAGGCTCGTTCCTCCGCATCGCTGTCAGAGAAACCTTCAAGTGGTTGGTCATCCTCAGCTTCATCGTCATCTTCGCTATCGAGTTCCTCCTCCTCCTCCTCAGCCTTATCCCGCTTCCTCTTCAAAAGCACTAACCCTGGCTCGTTCTCTTCAGTATCAGACTTCTCTTCGTCTACGTCTTTTTCTTTACGTGTATCTTTAATCGCTGTCCGCTTCGTATTATCTCTGTCGTTGGCCTGCTCCTCTTTACTTAAGTCCTTCTTCTCCTTCTTACCCTTCCCTTTCTTCAATTTCTCCGGCATGGGTACCCTCAGCGCAATGCACGTGCCCATGATAGCCTCCTCAATGACGTCGCGGATCTGCTTGCGATTGCAGAGCGCACTCGTCACGTTGTGTAACGCAGCCTTCTCTTCCCCGGACAGTCCCTCGGGCTTCGGAATAGGCCTGATAATATCGGCGGGTATCTTTGGGGACTCGGCCACGCCCTTGATTTTGAGAAGCGACGAGCATAAGTGCGCGTGCGCAGCTTGTTGGAGATCGAGACTCTGATGATGGATTATATGTTAATACAAGGTCATCTCTAATATCAAAATTCCTCGTTCATTCATTCATACCTTTAATACGGCGATCTCTCTCTCAAACCTCGCCGTCTTGTCCGGGTCACTCTGAGCTTCGCGAATGCGCTTGCTTAATCGTTGGCGCTCGAAACCCTTGGCGGTTTTCATGCCGCGCGCTAGTTCTTTATGCCATTGCGACAGCTTCTCTTCGAGGCTGGGCTCGTGATTTCGTTTCCGTTTTGGCATGCCGGGCGGTATGTGAATATTACGCTTGGTATAAAATATCTAAGAACTGTAAAGCTCGAAATTTTTAATGATATAGCGCCCGTTACATAGATACCCCGTTGTATTCAAAATATCATTCTAATAGTTTTATGTATCTATCAGAGCTTTGGCGTTTACGCTAAACTTGTATCTCGATGAGGTTTGCATGTGCTCTTACTTACCTGATTCAAAGATAAAGCTTATCACGCTATCTTACTGTAATATCCAGAAAAAGCGGATTTGACCCTAAATTTTAAAGGGCAGCTCCTTACATAGGTAGGTATTTTAGCCCTGTAAGCATCTTACCATATGCAACTATTTTGGTACCTACCTACCTAACCCATATGGCGACGATGGGCCCCACTAAGAGGTGGAGAAGCTATATAATCATCAATGAGATGGCGGGGCAATACCAGAAAAGTGCCTATAGCTTTATAAAGGTTACTATCTTACTTTATAATCAAGTTCGGCTAGAGCAATTGGCTCTTTATATAACTCCTGATATATCAAGCCCCGTGAGTCAAGCCCGCATCCAGAAACTAAAGAGCTCATCTACGAGCTATGAAAATTAGATATTCTTCACCTTAACCACTACCTACATTCTTGAGGTTGGCAGACCATTCAGTGCGAATAGCAGTATATCTTAAAATAGGTAGAAATGGCGACTTCACAGTCAACGCCAGCCACGCTTGGTGCAGAAAGCTTGTTTAACGCCAAAGGCATTGTCGCAGTTGTTACAGGCGGCGGTACAGGTATGTGACAAGGCCCAAGTTAAGTTTATACCACTTACATATGAACCTTTTACTGACAAACTTTGCCACTCACCTCAGGAATTGGGTTCATGATAACTAAAGCTCTAGCCACCAATGGTGCTTCTAAGGTATACATCATAGGACGACGTCTGCAAGTCCTGCAGCAGGCCGCAGAGCAGATCGGCACCGGCAATGTAATTCCGGTTACCTGCGATGTGACGTCTAAGGAGTCCTTGCAGTCGGCGACTACTCAAATCCAGCAGGACGCCGGCTTTATCAACCTACTAGTCTGCAACTCGGGCATCGGTGGGCCTTACGGGAACCGGCCCAAGCCCGAAACCACCCTGGATGAGTTCATCGAGGCCAATTTGTCCATACCCATCCAGGACTACACTAACACGTTTGCCGTCAATACCAGCGCCGTATGGTACACAACCATATCATTTCTGAAGCTCTTAGAAGCCGGCAACCAAAAGGCAAATGTAGAGCAGAAAAGTCAGGTTGTCGCCGTAAGCAGCATCGGCGGCTTCAACAAGATCAACACGGGAGGGTTCGCTTATGGGCAGAGCAAAGCCGCCTGCATACATCTTATCAAGCAGTTGAGTGTGGCACTACCACAATGGAATATCAGAGCCAACGTCATATGCCCCGGCCGTAAGTGAAACAAGTCATTCAACCTCGGCTTTTACTCCCTGCAGAGAATAAATAAGTTTCGGGACGAAGAGAAGTAGAACAGGTCGCTTTTATCGTGCTAACAGGCACATAGTCTACCCGAGCGAGATGTCGGCTCCTATCATCGAAAAAGGAGGAATTGGGAAAGATATGGTGCCTCTCGAGCGTGCCGGAGATGAGAAGGACATGGCGGGCACTATCCTCTATCTCGCCTCCAGGGCAGGCGCCTACTGCAACGGCACCGTTCTTGTGACCGATGGAGGAAGGTTGACTACGTTCCCCTCGACCTTCTAAGCCTAAGCGAAAATCGCGGCCAAGAATGATAGCCAAGTATCCTAAGCAGGGGCTTGTTTCCCGCATAGTTAACCCCCACGCTTTACTTGAGTAGTCATCAAGCACACTTCCAGCAGGGTCATGCCAAATTAGCTAAAGGGAAAACACATATATGTGCCGCTCCTTTTTGAAGAGAGTAGAAGCAGATATGAGATAGGGGAGGAAAGTCCCGGCAATTGTCGTCGCGTTGGCCCGGTCATCCGAGCCGAAGACCGGGTTTTTATAAAACAATACCCGAGGTCAGTCACCTCAGGCTAGTTATCGACGATAGGTAACCGTCCAATTATGGTCCTGCAAATAATATGAAATCATCGGTAGTCTATTTCTTGATCCCGGGGGCTCTTTCCTGCCTGGTCCACTAAAGCCGACTTACCACTTTACGGTAGATGAATAAGATTTATGTCAGGGCCGCCGTTAACATGATCCCTGTGACGAAGGTCGCAACGTAACGGTATATTAATGGAAGTAGATAGAAATAGTTGTCAACGTACCTAAGTAGTTGTGCATCATAACAGCAGCCTACTGTTTGTAAAAGATACAGGCGGGGTGTGTCTAAACAGATGAGTTAATGATGACTCTATCCCGGCGGTTGTTTATCACTATGGGGTATTATTAGACCCTGTCGGACAATTTAAGGACGTGCTACTGGCAATGTAGGACAGACGTGAAGAACCCCGACCTCGCGGCTCTGGACCAATCATGGATATCCCGTATAGAGAAATACATAGTAGGCAACTTTATGAACAGTATTGTTTTAGCGGAACGCGTGTGGACGGCCATAAAAGAATCCCCTATATCTTAGGTACCTGTTCACCTGGCCGACGGTTGTCTATCTCCTCGTATTCTCCAGGTACGGTTGGTTGATATCTGTGCAATATACTATTGTAGAATCCGTTGACTTCGATTCCCTTCTAACAAGAATAATAGGAATAATAGTAGGCAAGCCATGCTACCATGAAGACCTAGCCATTTTCCCACAGCCGGGTTAAGCACCCGTATTTAGGTAGCTACCGACTGCTTTCGTGAGACCCCAAACAAGGCAAGCCAGGTAGCTATATTAGAGATATGGATGAAACCATGGAGCAATTGGAGCCGAGACTGTTATTCCGTCCCGTGATCGCACATGTATGAGAGGAGCTCACATAAGCTTGGCTTCCAGCGGGAGTAACAACGCGACACGAAGTTGGAGTTCTAGATTGGAGGACGAAGATGCAGCTGTCCTTTTTAGGAGAATACCTGCCCTGTCCTTGCTTGCATGCATGCTTGTACCTATCAGATTCTACTAATTTTTAAGGCGATGGAAACCCCAATAGCTTGACGTCACTTGTGTAGGTAATGTCTTTATCATGGCTATTCCCTTCTGGTATTCCACTAAAATACACATTTCTCTTCGAATAACTACTATAAGGAATGTGTAGATTTAAAGCAACCTTTTAATAACAATGCACTTCAGCTTATACAATATTTACTAAATATTTTAAAGGGCATTAAAAGTAATAAGACTTGTTAGGTTAGGAGGTGCATGTAGATTTCAAAAGATTAACACGTGCTTATCGATAGATAGCTGTCTACGTGGACCCACATGCTAAAATACCTACATAGGTACATACCTAGGTTAGGTATGTACCTCTAGCATGCTTGGTACAATACGGTGCATGTGCAGTGCATAGGGACTTTACCCCGCAATCCGCCAACTCTCGGGACAAGGGACGAGGATATTACGGCACTCGAGAAGGACAAAGGTTCAGATGTCAAAATTGAAGGAAAGATGACGATTTTTGCTTTCACAGTTTATGTAGTCCGTGACCTTCCTGAAGCCTACAAGCACTTGGAGCCGAGATTGAACTCTATCCAACCACCCAAGACCTTTTATCTTTTTCCACACGGACTTCCGCAACTTTGACATCAGTCCCAGCCCATAAGAATTCCGGCTGAATGGGAACGATAGCGCAGATCTCAACCATGCAATGCCGAGATCCATACAAAGTCTAAGCTTACGTACCTAACGGTGCCACTTTTGACGTTGACCTAAGTAGAGTACCTAATTATAGGCCTTGATTACCTACATGTATGGTCCAACCACGAGAATACTTCGTAAGAATGACATTGCTTCTCCCGTTGCTTGTAGCTAATAATATTGCAATAAGTAGTATATCCATAGACTTCCGAACGGCCATAAGTGCCTATTAATTACATTGAACTAGCCGGAATATAGTGTTACTAAAGTTAGATGTGAGTATTCAAATAAATAATATCCTCGATGTCGCGTCGGGTAGGAAAAGAGTGTACCGTGTAAGTGGTAGTTATAGAATAAGTGATAGGTAAAGAGAAGAGTACTTAATATCAGAAGCACCAGAACTACAACTGTAACGGGAGCAATTGTACAGCATGACCTTGTTTCCAGTTTGACGTCGGCATGATGAATTGTATGCGCCAACTCCGCACTCGATCCCCCTCGGTAGTGCCCTAACCACCATAAACTATACGTGGTAGGGTAGGTATAGAGGGGATTCGACCATAGGTAGATACCTAGGTAGTCACCAATAAGGACTCGAGATAATCGAGGAAAGGACATCAGGACGAATGGTTCAAAGATACCTGGTACTTTTCATCTCGCACTCGCCTCGGGATTCATTTGTCGTTCCTTTCTCTTTTACATAAAGTCACAGCTCTAGTCCCACTTCTCTTTCCCCTTCCTTCCTTCATCTTACATAGTAGAGTTTACACTTGCATGTATACTAGAGGCAGTCGACACCCTAAAATATTCTTCCTAGCTGCACGCGCTTTTGTTCGTCTACTTTACCTAGCTTTGTAAAATCAGTGATTGTTATTCTGTTGATTCTCCCCACCAAATCCGATAGCTAAGCTACCTATCCTTCGATTTTGCGGCGGAATATTCCTTCTGCTGACATCATCTGGCTATATACACACCGGCGTCCAATATTCGTACCGACATACCTATGTACAGCTCTCCCTCGCCTGTTGAGCTCAACCTGTGATCCCGCCGGTCTCGGTGGCTTTTGCAATTTCCTCAATCTAGGGCTGATAGCTACAATTCAGCTTTCTAGTTGGGGTGGAATAGAAGCCTATCTCCGGGTGATCTATTAATTTTCTACTGAGACATTGCTGCACAAGTTGGTGCCCCCCCCCCCCCCTTTTCGTTCGATAGCTTGTTTGTCCCGTCATGAAACACCATCCTCAACCGTTTAGCTACTATCCGCCATTATCAACCTAATACCCTATTGGCGCAGCTCCGCAGATATGGCCTTGGATAATAGAACGGTATCCGAGATGAAATTCCAACGTCTTTGGCCGCTGCCTAGGGTCTAATAAGTACACACACCCACCCCACTTCCTATCTTTCCCGACCGGTCCACATCTGTATCTATCACAACAGATACCCGCTAGATGGGGCCGAATTACAACATCGGCTATTAGCTGTACACCTCGGTCGTGACTATGGCTATGCTTTCAAGCGGATGTTGAGCGCCTCGGCCAATGGCGCTTCTCCGGACCTTCTCAGGAGTTCCCTACGTAGTCCGGCGTTTCTTATAAGCTTAAAGCCGTCTCACCAAAATGGCACTTATGGACATACTGCTAACTATGTGTTGTTAATACTAGCTTTCTACTCTTTCTGTAGCCATCCCCAGAGCTTAAACGGGTCTTGGCCTTGTATCAGTATACGATTTCCTCGCCTCTCTGCTGTCTTGCCTCACGATTGGAATTATGAGCTCCAACACCTTTAAGCAAGCCGCGGAAGCAGCACGAACCAAGACGTCCGCTATGGGCAAACAGGGCTCGGAGGCAGTTTCTGCCGTAGGAAATGACTTCTTACACACCCCCATCATGCGGGCAGCCCTTCCTTTCCTTAACGGCGGTATCTCTGGCATGGTTGCGACCACTGTCATCCAGCCTGTAGATATGATCAAGGTCAGATTACAACTTGCTGGCGAGGGCATTGCTACCGGCCCCAAACCTACTCCGTTATCCATCACGCGGGATATCCTCGCGCAGGGCAAGGCTCTTGACTTATACACCGGTCTATCGGCGGGTCTTCTCCGCCAGGCGGTATATACTACAGCGAGATTGGGCTTCTTCGACACATTACTGAAGAACCTATCAACGCGTGCCAAGGACAAGGGTAGACAGGTTAGCTTTGTTGAGCGAGCGAGCGCTGGACTTGCAGCCGGTGGGATAGCAGCATTTATCGGAAACCCTGCAGATCTCGCTCTCATTCGGATGCAATCAGATGGTCTCAAGCCTATCGCTGAGCGCAAGAACTACAAATCCGTTATCGATGCATTATCGACGATCGTCAAATCCGAAGGCGTCACTGCATTATGGGCCGGTGCGACACCAACGGTAGTACGAGCCATGTCGCTTAACTTAGGTCAACTGGCATTCTTTTCGGAAGCTAAAGCGCAACTCAAGACGCGTACCCAATGGTCTCCTCAATCGCAAACCTTAACAGCCAGCGCTATTGCTGGATTTTTTGCTTCCTTCCTCAGTTTGCCCTTTGACTTCGTGAAGACGAGATTGCAGAAACAGCAGCGTGGTCCCGATGGCAGACTTCCGTACAAGAGCATGACGGACTGCTTCGTCCAGGTCGCCAGACAGGAAGGTCTTACGCGCTTCTACCGTGGATTCGGTACCTACTACGTGCGTATTGCGCCGCATGCGTAAGTTCATCCCACCCCAAATTCGGAACAGGCCGGAATAATGTTTGCTAACGTCACATTGTAGCATGGTGACCTTAATTGTTGTAGATTATCTTGGTTGGTTGACGAAATAATTTGTCAGCCCCGGCTGTTGATTACCCATCTTTTATCATATTTTTTTTTAATTCGCTTATCTATGTAGAAAGCGACCGGGGCGTCCAGCGGTTATCATGGGAAGCATTGCTAATGTCATTTACGGGGGACTGGGGAAAATACCATTCGTACATATTATCATCGCTTTCATATATCTTGTACTTTGCGGAATGCAACCAAATGATTTTTTTTGTACAAGGGGGCAAGAACTATAAGTGACTGACTATATGATATCTATGCTTTACACCGACATACTCCCTACCCTACGGCCCGAATATTTTCGATCCTTATGTAGCCTTCTTGGTGCAAATGATCCAGTGTAAATATCCGCAGGGCCAAAGAAACTGCTCCTTTCCGCTCTTAATCTCCCAGTCGTCGCTGTTGGCACCACAGGTGCGTAATAGGGTCTCAACCTCGTCGGCAGTACGGGTACGTAGGCACGAAATAAGACCGTCGAAGACAAGCACAAAGGGGACGACAGGGATAACGTAAACCCAGAATAAGCGCATGGGTGACCACCAATATAGCAGCGGGGCGATTAGAAGGATAAAGAAGCCGAAGGCGAAGCACGTCAGCAGGCCGGTGGGGGTCCGGTCCTGTAGCTCGAAGATGCTAAGGGGAAACTTGTCAGCACCATCTGTATAAGATAAATATAGAATATATTTAGTTTGGGGCACTACTCACCCGAACCCATCGCTAGTCTCAACCGTGTTCTTTAGGATGGCGCGAGCTAGCTTGTCATCGAAGTGGTGGAATGCCAAGTTGAACAGCCGGAAAATGCCCTTCCCGCCGTTCTTCTCCGTATACCGACGTAGTAGGTCGGTAGGCGCGCTGGCGGCGTCGACGGGGCGCGCGACATACGATAGTCGATCGCTCTTCTTACTGGCGGCTTCCCAGGACTCGACGTGCGGATGCAAATCCGTCAGGACGAAGTCCACCTGGCTGTCCTCTTCCTGGACAGTAGCAGATTGGGCCTTGGGGTTGGCGACCGCCGCGTAGCTCGGCGTGCTATCCGCTGCAGCGCGGCTCTCGCCGTCTACAATGCCGGATTTTGCGGTCGCGGGGACTCGGTGCGTCGCCGCGCGCGCGAGCTGGCTGTTCAAAGCCCGCTCGATAAAAGGCGTAGGACCTCCGGCTCCGGCGCAGAAGTCGATGTAGGTGTGCCGCGAGACGGAACTGCCGAGCACACGTCGCAGGGTCTCGGCTACGATGGTCGCGGGGCTGCTAGGCTGCAGGAACGGGATATGGACGGTCCAGGCGTGCGTTAGGCCGGCCTGGACGTATCCGCGGAGGAAGGGGGGGAACCTATGCGGGTGGAGGTCAGTTTAGGTAGTCAGGTGAGGACATGTCGACGCGGGATGAGGCTGACGACAGCTGTCCCCCTGCCTTGCTATGTAGAAGAGGTGATACGTGGGTGTAGGTGTAGGTTAGACAGCCAAGGGAATCAAGATAGACCTGCAGCAAGCCACGGTGACACGCAGCGGGTGAAGATCTGTTGGATAGGAGTTATCGGCCGATCAATCTGTTGACCCAACGTGCCATGCCGGACGATGACAGCCAATTGATGCTAATTAGGGGAGGCTGGAATCCGGAGCTCCGGTGCTCTAGTGCTTACGGTTCTGGACTGTCTGCTTTGCATTGCATATATGTGCATGTGTACGTGTATGTGTATGAGTGTACTTACCACAGCTGGTCGTCGATCTCCCAGAGATGCAATCGGGGGATCAAAGGGGCTTGGGATGCCATTGTGACGGATTGGATAGGTAGCTATTAGTTCGTGATACAATAGTTAATAGTCAAATCAGAGGCGAGTAAACAGCTTCGTGTCTATGTCTGCGAACCGGCACAGTTGACAATCAAAGCTATCCTAGGTAAATCTGAGTTTTTAACGAGCTTAAGAAAAGGAGCGGGGAGTGGTATGGAGGGTTTCTAGCTCCCCTTACTACTGTCATCATGACAACTTCATGATTTAGCAATTTTGTTGAGTTTCGAGTCGAGTTGAGCTTGGACGCGATAAAATGGTTACAAGGGGGAAGATGGGAGATTGGAGCCAATCACATGTATCGAATAGTAAATACGTACCTATGTAATAGACCAGGGGGGGAAACAACAGGGGCTAGGGAATATCCGTATATTCCGTTGCGTTACTGACGTAAGGCCGAAACGTCGAGACATGGAAAAAGATGCATAGGTTAGGTTAGGTACCTAGGTACATGTGTACCCCCGACAACATGTGATAGAAAATATGTATAACTCTACAATACAAAGCCAATGAGAAGCTTTATGATTAGGTACATATTGGTTTAACCTTTTATATACATACCTCATACCTACGTACATATATGATGGCTTCACGATTCCTCATTTGAAAGATCGTACTATAAGCTTCAAAATACCCAGTTACTAATTAATTTTTCATCTCATGCCCAAATGATAAAATTCAGTCGCTTTACGAATATATCTAGCCCCTTTGATTAGACAAACATCACATGAAGCCACTGCATAGCACACCTACCTACCTATACACCGAGGCTGTTTCTTAGCAATCCACGGTACTTGTTATGGCTCTCCTTGAAGGGTACGGGCTAGCTTGCCTTGGGTTACTTGGGATACTTCTTTGCTATCAATTGACTTTGCGGTCCCCAACTATTCGACGTAATGGGGCCCCCTTAAGGTAAGGCATGTCTCAATACTCTTCCGTAAGGCTACGGCCCAGAGCTTAACCCTCGCAACAGAAAGCCGCCAAACACCCTCCCCATCATAGGCAATGGAATACTCTTTCTTCGGCCGCGCCAGAAGCTATTTTCTTGGTTCGTCAAGTGCGAAAGGCGGTTTGGCAATGAGACGTTCCAAATTGGCGTACCCACCCTACCTCCAGGCGTGGTCCTCAATGATCCCAAGAACTTAGATTATGTCTTCAAGAACGAGGGTATCTTCTCCAAAGGTGACTTCTTCAAGAAGCTCTCTTGGGACTTATTTGGGAACGGAATCATCAATGTTGATGGTGAGCTATGGAAAGCTCAGAGGAAAGCCGGCCTGGCTTTTCTCAACACTTCCAACCTACGAGTCCTGACAGACATTGCGCTACCGCGGTATCTCGGCCGCGCTGTAGAACATCTACAAGTGCAGGCTCGCGCCAGGAAAGTCGTGGACCTGCAATCCGTATTCCACGAGATTACGAGCCAACTTATGGGAAAGATGGCTTATGATATGGAGATGCATGCTGATGATGATTTCACTGTTGCATTTGATTATGCCTCAGGCGCGACTACTGAACGCTTCCAGAACCCTCTGTGGTTCATTAAGGAGCACTTCACCGGTTCTAAGTTCAGGGAAGCACTCCATACAATCCGCACTTTTGGTTACAAGATTGTAGACAGCGCTGCAGATTCAAATATTAAGAAACAGGGTGACCACACACCGGAGCTGACACCTGATAGGCTAGATGAGGTTTCCGGCAGCTTGATACAATCGTTGTTGGAGGTTTTTGGCGATAACCGGGAAATTGTATCTGATTCTGCCTTGAACTATTTATCCGCTGGTAGGGATACTGTTGCCCAAGCACTGACGTGGTGCATATACATCCTTATGCAACACGAGTTCGTCATCGACGAGATTCGGAACGAAGTACGGGCCTTGCTCGACAATACCCCGGGGCCATTACTATCAGATGATAGCAAAGTAAGTGTCAACTCGAGCATTCTTACGCCTTCGTCGCTACCATACACCATGGCAACCTTTTATGAGACACTCCGGCTTTACCCACCAATCCCTTTCGAAATCAAGCAGTGCGAAAAACCAACTACATTACCTGACGGTACTTTTCTCCCGGAAAAGTCGATAGTATTTTGGTGCACCTGGGCCATGAATAGGTCAAGAATTAACTGGGGAGACGACGCGGACTCCTTCAGGCCTGAAAGATGGCTTACGGAGGATGGAAAACTTATCACAAAGAGTGCTGCCGAGTTTCCAGTTTTTAACGGCGGACCGCGATTATGTCTCGGAAAGCGAATGGCAGAACTATTAGCTGCCCAGGTCATTCCAACAATGGTGTTGATGTTCGACTTCACGCCAGCCTATGGAGGCGAAAGAGTTAGCAAGAGTAGTCTCACATTGCCGATGAAAGGCGGATTGCCGTGTCTTGTAAAGTCTAAAGCGCTTGGTTAGAAGTAAACAATTATATCGCAGACAATTGTATATCTACCAGCTAGCTAGCTATCCGACCCCAGCTTATAATTATCAGGGTTTTTAATCGGCCGAGCATTCTCATTCAATGCGTATAATAGTAGTGACAGGCGCTAGCAAGCTTGAGTATACGCTCCTAGCATGTGAATACTGCTTCAGCTATTTCCTATCTATGATATAGATTTAACCCCACCCGCCCCTTTTCTCGATTTCAGTACCCTATTTCGTTACTCTTGCGTCTCGTTCTTGAATCTTCCGTCGGGGAATTATCGTAACGACAGCTTCTCCTCGCAAGGACCTCAGAATGAAGACTCTCAGGCCTCTTACCTCAACTGCCAAGTGCCGTAAATTCCTTTAGGGGATATCAACTATTAAAAACATCATAGCTCTAGAAACCTTCAAAGGTCAGTTCAAGCCGGCTAGGAAGATTCATACTTCCTAGGTGTATAGGGAGCTGGTCTTTTAATATCATTATCGATCGATTAGGTAGGAATGCTTTCTCGTTAATAGAACATGTCCAATCTTCGTCATACTTCACCTCACTATAATACATAATACGTCTTGCCAAGACAATCCCTCCGATATCGTAAACACTTGGATCCGAGCTGTTTGTTGGGCCTAGTTATTCTATCTAGCTATGCAATGGTTGAGAAAGCATTGGTAGGTCAATACTTTAGCTATCTATTGCCTCCCCTAAGTTCCGATATACCATTTGAACAACCAAGTACAACTTAGGTTTACACTTTGAAGACGGTCAAGCATATTAAGAGGTCAGTGGGATTTGTCTGTCGTTCAGGTCCACAATAGTGAGGATTCGTATTGCCAATTGCTCCGGAACGACTCTGCTAGACACTCTATAGAAATTGTATTAGGCGAGAGGCGAGTTCTTTCGCAATGGCCAACTGAATTTTAAAGTTGGGATTAAGTTCAGAACAATTCCTTAGTTCGAGCATAGACAGCCATCAGAAAGACAAAGAGTCTTATACAGTACCTATATACGGGAGGGACCAAGAAAGATTCTTCATCGTGCTTAGGGTTATCAGTGGCTCGGAAGCCTTAAATCAAGTTTTGCATCACGACATACTTTCCCGCTAAAAGCTTTGACATCGTGTAGTCTCTAGTAGTAGTGTTTTCGGAGATGCCAACTTTTACTATATAAGCATCCCCTGTTCTTCCTAGTTTCCTAGAAAAGACCATTCAGACACACAAGCTATCAAGTTAGAAACCAAGGCTCTTGGCTCGACCTTATTCACATCAAACTCCAATCCAGACACAGCACTTCCATCTAAGCAGAGATATCCCTACAACCAGCAATCTCGACAAGATGGTTAAGAAGGTTACACTCCCTCGTACGCTTGGGTGCGTAAAAAAACACATAGAGATCAGTATGAACGAGATAAACAAGCGACTAGACCGCCTCAGGGAGACACGCAGTACAGATCGCAACCAGTTTTGGCATCTATTCAATATACTTGGACTTCTTGAGACTGTTAGAGACGAAAGCAACCAGGATATAACCGAAACTTATGCTGCTGCTATACCGCCTGACGACACACGTCCTGATCAAATACAGCCGCTAAATACAATGATACAAAGCGTACGGGCACAAGAAATCCAAGAGGAGCAGAAGCAGAAGAAGGAAGAGTACTTCGATCCAGTCCGCCGTCCCGTCCTTGCACAACTCCAGCGACAACGATCGTGCACACGGCTTGATTTCGTGTAAACGGGGCATATAAGGAGAGTGGGAGTAGAGGGCAGAGGCAGGGTTTTCATTGAGGGCGGCACAATAAATATCCAACCCATAAGCCAACCTAAATTGTTTTGGGCTATAGGATTCCCGGTTGTTCGGTTAGCAGGGAACGTCAACTGGGAAATGAAATTATAACGCCATGTACCCAACGCATTGACTTTCTTAGCCGTGGCTAACTACCTATTATGAATTACCTCCCGTGAAATAAGGTTTTGCTTTTGATAGTGAATATGGCAAAGTAGTACTCTTAGTTCCTCAATATAATTTAGCCCCTAAACCTTTGTTGAGTATGACAGAACTTAATCTTCTATGATAACTTTATATCAATGTTTACCCATCACGACCTGGCAAGGCACAGTATAGGCATTGGGTGGATTTCGTATTCATATGCAATGTTAAGCAACAAAGAGATGGTATTTGAGATTCAAAGGTATAACATTCAGCATACCTAGGTGCCTAAGGTCATTCTAGTAGATATATGTTCAAACGGGAGAGTAGGATTAGTACCTTATATAGTAAATACTCGCTGCCAGCCCCTTTTTAAAAGTTCGCTACCAACTCCTAAACAAATCAACATCCATAATTCTTCTCGCCTTTGTTTCTTTTTTATTCTCTGCTATCCTTCTGCGTGCTACGCTACAATGAAGCAGGGAGTGCTTGGCTACAATATTGTGCAAGAGACTATCGACATAGATGCATGCAACATGACATAAATCCAGCCTTCATCAGTGTGTACACTTAGAACATGCCCCTTGAATAGTTAGTTAAGCGTTTATTTAAGGAGCCTACAATGTAAATCAGACAGCTCCCACCTTGAACCTTGGATCGTCTTGCCGTTGTACTCTTAGATCACATCACCGTATAGCTGAGCGTTGTTAGGCCCCCAGACCACTATGTGATCTAGTGTAAAGGGCCTCCAGTTATCTTGTATTAACAATTCAGTCCTAGTTCGCCCCAACATTGCCTGTGCCCCGGCAGCAGAGATGCGTTCTCGCTTGTTTGCTCTCCGTATAGCAGTATTCATAGAATCTTCAAAGTACTATTGTCTTTAGCTACGGTTTATAGTTAGCAACTATAAGTCCACGCGTTACTCACAACCGCTTAAATCTAGATACTCCGTAATAGTAAATGAAACTATGACCCTAAAGCTCGCCGTCGTCTTTAAAGGGGGCTGGCATTTTGTAGACTCAACCTTTTCCCGCATATCGCATAAAGACGCGACTAAAGGGGTCAGGAATAGTACTTGACATCTGTAGCACGACTAGCCATCCCTTCTCGCCCTTTGCTAAGACGTGATTACTCACTGATGACCATTGCGGAAGGACCCCGTTCAACAACAGCCCCGGGCACCCGCTTATTTCGGCCTTGACAATGCCGCTGCCTTGACTTCCGAGTCCCTAACCCACCCCCGGCCGCATTACTCGGCTTCCATCGACGACAACGACGTGCCCATTGAAACCTGCTCGCCTTCCCCGAAAGTGACTTACAGGGCAATTTGAATTTCCTTCTGATGACTCTTCCTACTCCTCCAAACCTTCCAATATAAATCTGCCAACATCCACCCCACGAGGCAGACTCTACCTTTCCGCATTCTTCTCGCCACAAGACAATATTCCTCCCTTCTTCAATACTTCAACAATCACATTGAAGTTTCTTTCCCGCGAACAATCTTCTGCCTTATTTTCTGAATTCTATCCAAGAACCCCCTACATCTAAAAAAGATGGAGTCCAAATTTCTCGAGCTCGTCACCTTCGTCAAGCAGGTCATCCTGTTTTCGATCGCGTTACTCGTTGGCCATGCAGCGCTCGTCGCCGCTGTTATGAAGAGACAATGGCTTCTCCGTGCCGTTCAGAAAGTTGCCCCCGAGTTCCATTTTCAATACCGCCCCGTCATTTACGGTCTGGAGTTGATCACCGTCTGGTGGTGCTGGGTCCTCGTCAAGTATGTCAGTCTAGCCCTATTCGTGAATGTTGCGATGCTACTTGCGATCAAGAACGGCCTCTTCTACGAATCACTCGAAGTCTATGTCTTCGTTGTGTTGATCGCTAGTATCGGCTACCTCCTCTCCTTGATCTCAAACAGCGCGCGCATCGAGGCAATGCTGATAACCGAGAGCAACGACGCGGCCGTAAGTAACTCGCTTTTTTTCCCCTTTCCCCCTTTTCTAAGATCTTTCCCTCTTGCTAACATGTTATCTCAAATAGCACCGATACAGATGGGACCGAACCCGCCTCCACTATGCCGGGCGCAACTGGCCTCAGAACGCCATATTGAAGAAGATCCTCCTCGTAGCCGACTGGGTCCATCAATGGAACAACGGAGTCCTAGATCGCGTCATGGCTCATGAACTTCAGTACCCTCGACGTTACAACCCGGATCCAGAATCGTGGCCTCAACAAGACCTCGCGTTCCTCGATGAATCGGCGAACCACAGCCGAGATATTTACCTTATCCCAAGAGGTGGATTTTAAGTATTTGCCCCCAGAAACCTACTGGCAGTTATACGACGATGGAGTTCAGCAGTATGTTTCCCCTATAACCCGAGATATTACCCAGCATTACTAATAATAAGTTCTCAGGTTGCCGACAAACACTCAGCCTAAAGATTGGGCATGGTACTCTGAGCACGGATTACGAGAACATAACACGACGAAGATGAGCGGAAGGGTTTGCAGCTATTAGTACTAGTTGCCGTGTTTATTGCTTTAGCTTACCATGCTATCGAGTCTCGTATGTCAATTTTTTCGTTACGAAGGAGCCTAGGGCGGGCAATAATGTATCTAGTCCTTATAGCAAACCCATCTTTTTCCCACAAGGGAATAGAGATAGGTAACAGTGAGGAAGGGGACGTTCTTGTTTCTTAGTAAGTTATGCAGACTCGTCTCTCATAGAGGCGCTTTCGGAATGCTGATTGCTTCTTCTTCTACTCGAGTCCTTAAACAATAAACGTAACTAAACTTTCGTAATAAATGTCCTGTAGGGTAATTGCTGCCCACCTCTCGTTCTTCGATTATTGAGGCTCTCCTCGGGCATTACTATAACTTACTTTGGCCTATTCATATTGGTTACACGGCCTTAGTTGATAATCACCTGTTATGTTTTATTGCCATTCCTCACCCTTTTGCTCAAACTATTATTAGACAGGTTCAATAACATGGTACGGATTACAATAACATGAAACTAAAACCCTTTCAGCTGTGTATAGAAACTGCCTCACAAAATTAACCCACTCAACTCTAGAATAGAATGGTAAAATTACAAGCTAGCTAACCTAGTGAAAATACAAAAATCGCAAAACCAAAAAGTCGACGTGGGCCTGATTCGAACAGACGCTCCCGAAGGAACAAGATTTCTAGTCTTGCGCATTAGACCACTCTGCCACCACGCCTTATTGGCTATTAAGGCTGTTATGCGTACTTATATAGCACGGTCCTTGGAGGGAGACGCTAGCAAATTGTGATCTTGTCGCCCAGATGATTGGTCGAAGTATCTCCCGTAAGTGGATCCTACAGCCATCTGTCCTGCATTTCTTGGTTGAGATCCGGATAACTATTAGGTTAGAAAACTATTAGAAAAGGTAACACTGCAATGTGCTGAGTTGAAGAAATACGTAGTAGTTCGCTATCCATAATGACTCTTCAAAACCCATAGTTACTATAAGGTAGAACCTCAATGCGAAAAAGCACCTGGTTAACTTCTATTCACCCTGTAAAGTCCAAAGCCTAAACCTGCCAAGTGAATACATGCAGTACTGGATGTTAACATGTTATTTTTGGATATGTTAGGTACCTAGGTACCTACATAGGTATTTTCGCATATAATCCATACTTAGCCTACATTATATCAACTCTTTCCCAAGTACTCTCGAGTCTTAGCACCTTAGAGCACTTCCTAAACCATGGAGTGAATAACATAGCATCATCATAAACTAGTTCCTTATTCCCCAGCCAAGTATCACCTCTCATCCTGACCCAAACCTCTCCTTCGCAATCCTCTTTAACACTTCCATCGTATCGTCCTCCTTGCGTCTATATTCCTTAACTCTATACTCCCTCTCTGCAGCCTTAATCCTAGCCTCTTCTTCTCTCCGGACCTCTCGCTCCGTCTTCCGCCTCTCGGCCACCGCCTTCAGGCGCTTGTACTCGGCAATCGAGTCCCCGCCACCCATGAGCTCTGCTTCGCCGACCTCCGCGCCGCCCCCGGGCGACTTGTCCCGGAACCCGCGCATCTTCTCGTTGACCTCGCGTTTCTTCTCTAGCTGCCGCTCCCGCGTCCCGGGTTCTGCTCGCGGGACTAGTTCTTCGAGGCGCGCACGTTGCTCGGTGCGATCGGCTTTTCGTGCTAGACGGAGGTCGGAGACATGCTGGGTGCGCTCCTCTTCTGCGTTCTCGCGCCGCAAGTCTAAATCTTGCCGATTGGGTATACCTGGGCCGTGTCGCGTAGAGCGGGTGGCATCGGAATGATCGCGGGTGTAGTTTTGCGTAGGAGCTGCCCCAGGTAAAGTCGGACCATACTCATCGTCGTCTTCATCTTCGTTTTCCTCCCCTCCGGAGAGTATCGAGCCATTACCCCCATCAAGTCTCTCGGTATTCTGTTCGCTCAGCCTCGACGACGGCGATATCACGGAGGCTATCCTATCTTCCCTCACAAGCTGTATACCAGCGCCAGTGCCAGCGCCAGCACCAGCTTTCTTCGCTTCGGAAAGCGTCTCAGGACTATACCAACCCTCAGCCAGGTCCCCACGGTTCCACTTGCTGACAAAGCTCTTCCAGCGGCCCTTAACCTCCCTCTCGTCCAGCGCTGCGATGTCCTTGCGCTTCTGCACCTCGAGGTATTGCGCAAACAGAGGCTTGAAGTTTTTAAAATCGGAACGGACTAGAGGCCTCGCGCCTAATGGGAGCTCGCTTTGGGTGCGGATAGGAGAGGTCGAAGAGTGGCGATGCTTATGACGACGGTGATTATCAGGTGTATGATGGCGCCGTCGTGCTGAGGACGTCGAAGGTGAGCGCTCGAATGAGGTAGATTTGGTACGATGTTCCCCTCTCCCTTCTCTCAATGATGAGGTATTCGGTCGTAATACGGAATCACGCCGTCTAGAATGCCGATGGTCATCATATCGGTGCTCGTGTCTACTTCCACCCCCCCTCTCATAATCGTCGTGTCTTTGCTTGACACGTTTTACGTCATCTAGGTTGTGCTCATCTTCCCCACGCGTTCGCTTAGGATTCGAATGACGTCGGTGGTCTCCCAATCCGCCGTCTCGGTAGCCGCTAGCATCAGCCATTAACGATAGCAGCCGCACGGAGGTAAATTGGACGATCAAGTAGGATTCATATGCGTCCGAAGCCGCAGTAGAGTGACCCCTGTTGGTACTGTTCTTCGTTGGAGGACATTGTACGTTCCAGTATGTTGGATGTTGTACGAGGAGAACAGGCTAACCTAATGATATGTAGTAAGCTGGGGGATTGGCCCACTGCAGGTGGCTTATTTCTAGCAAGGTACCTCTAATAAGGTACCACCCGTCGGGCATTATGACACTTACATAAGCAAAAATGTCCATCAAGGTTCTCACGCATCTCGTACTAAATTACGAAAGTACGAAAGTATAATAGAGTTAATTATTTCCTGGTAAAACTGTAGCATCCAACTTACCTTCGTACTGATGCCGATTCATCACAAGTAATGAAAAACAGGCATTTAATACAATAATCATATTGTACGAAACTGTGTCGCTGCGCTATGTAGTAGAGCATACCTATGTATCTCAGGACACCTAACCGAAATAAAGACGGGAAAAATCCACAAACAAGTCGGCCAAGCTCCGACCCATATGCATATGGCCGTTTTCTATCAATCATCAATCCATATCTCCTAAATTACGTATCGAACATCTGTCACACCGCAAACCCTGTGCGTAAATATGCGCCGAGTCTTACTCGTCACGTTTTACAAGGTCTTATATAAAGTCCCCAGATACGCAGCAGGTGAGTCGGTTGAACGCCGACTCGTACAAAGCCGGTGTAGGACGTAGACAGTCTGGGCTTAGATTCTATTCGCTAAACCACAATCCAGACCCCGTCATCTCGGAAGACGCCAGGATAGCCGATTGGGGCTCATCGACGACAGAAAACCCCCCGCTAGGTGGGGGTATGCCAACAGATAAACGCTCGCTAATTCATCGAGTGAATATCGACCGCTTGATCCTCCAAATTCAGCCGAATTCGCTATCGCAAAGTCCGCATAGTTCATGTTCATCGCTATCAATAGTTCGTAACAATCCCCATACTCTCTTCTCCGAACTGTCGTTCCCGTATATCATATATTTCACGTTTCCTTCCTGTTCCCTTAAATATATACGTCCCTGACTTCCTAGATATATACGTTCGAATGCTTTGTTCTCGTGGGCTTCATCCATCATCCTTGGGGATATTAGTTAATCTATCGCATTGTCGCTTCCGCCAAAGGCATCGTGTAGTTGGACGCCAATCCATACGCCGGAGAAATAACCATGATCCCCCCTCTCCTTTAGTTCGGGGTCTTATCCTGAGACCCTCCGTGCATCTTTGCGTCTAGTGGGTCTTGGTGAATCATACAATTAACACACGCGCAGTCATCGCCACATCCGCAATTCCCGTGACCGTAATCAACGAAGATAAATTCGCTGGCCGATAGATTTAGATCGTTCGCGCCTGGCGACTCCGTGTCGGCTGGGCTGTGCGTCGGTGGTGGTGATGCTTCGCCTACCGCTAGCGGCGGGTCCGGTATTGAATTGCCCGTATCAATCTTCCCGTTCACGGGCTCTTCCTGGAAATCCATGGCATCGCGAATATACTGGCACGTTGCTTGGTTGTACGGGTGGGCAGGACATCCAAGGCAGTCGCATCCAGGACCACAGTGGCATACGTGACTCGTATAGGAACCGGGGGCACCTCCAGTTGGGTCGACCTGAGGCAAAAGATTTGCTACTAACTGCTCCCATTGACATTGCTGTAGCGGGAAATGGTACGTCCCAAATGGGACCTGGTCTGAGTATAGGGCTGGTTGGAAGTGGCCCATCGGATATATTTGTTGTTCAGTCGACACTTGCGGCGGAAAATGCGCTGTCATAGAGCCGTTGCCCGTGGGGATCTGGGGTATATAGCCCACCATATTCGAGGACTGCTGAGGTCCGGCGTGAGGTTGGCTCTGGAATTGAATGTGGGCTGGTATCTGTGGAGGTTGTTGTACCCTCTGAGAACAGCAGCTTCCGGTTTGTTCCAAGGGTGGTTCTTGCGAAGAATCTCCAGTGCTGGAAGTCGGCGTGTGGTAGGGCGAGCTGGATGCACCAGATGTCATCGTCTCTGAACTAACCGTTGAAATATTCGACCGGTCTGGAACTCCGTTTCGGGAAGATTGTGTTGGCGGTATATTCGACAAGCCGTTGTTTAGGGCAAATAGAGAGGAGTCTAGTGGCCTGTCTAGACGAGAAGCTATCTGCGGATAGGAGGGATACTGGTGAGTACCATTTTGCAAAGGCGGGAGGTAATTCGTATATTCAGCGGAGGAAGTGATAACGTTTGCGGGAGATGCCGGTAAGACACTACTCGCGCCAATCAAGTTCAAGCTGTTAGAGTTCATGCGCTGTAGAGCGGAGGCGGAAGCATCAGTAGATTGTTTTCGGCTTGGCTTTGTTGTCGGCTTCTGAATTCGAAATGACGCTTGTTTCGTAGGCGATAGCGGTGGATTGTCCGATGGCTCTGCCTTGACGATGGCCGGCGTGCTGTTAGTCTTACTAGGCGGACTACCACCACATCGACATGAGCCTCCTTTAGGGAGCGCAGCCGTTACATTCCTACATTGGCACGACTTGCCCGGCGGATGAGGACAAGTGCTCAGCGGCCGACCCGGCTTTCGCACAGGTAACAGCATACGATCCCCCAAATGCGCGCATTTTGTCGATCGATGCCCTCGTATACATGGCTCACTACAGATAGGAGAAGCAGTCAGTGGGTGAAAACAGCCAAGACTATGGTGACTTCTGCGAGAACCATTCGTTATACAAATTCCCAGCGTCAAATGAAGATGGGTTGCTAGGAGAGGCGCCCCAAACTTAGAGTGACAACATGCAACCATCCGAGACTCCTCATGGAACACTACACAAAGACAAACAGCAGAAGATTATTTTTTACTCACCAAGCCATCTTTTGTCCATTAATAATGGGCATCTTCCGTAGCGTCGCGCGGCGGTGCCGGCGCAACAGAAGCTCGAAAGTATGCTGGACAAGAAACGTTATAGATCATGTAAGAATTATCGACAGTCCCAGAAATGATCCGTTCCAACTTTACTTCAGAGAAATTGATGTCCAATGTGTTAGTCGGAAGCGAGGCACATAAGGACCCTTCTCATCGAGGTTGTCGCGCGGCAGGTAACGGTTCTTCTGGGTCGTACTTGGAAAGGTAGGTTGACCACTGTGGCATGAGGTGAAAGTAGCTGGCGTCGTGGAACTCGAGGCTTCGAGAAAATCGAGATGAGCTAGAGCGAACGACGCCTAAGGTCCCACAGGGGCCTTGAACAAATAAACTCGAGGCCTAGATCGTTATAGAGGTGGAGATGTGGTATAATAGATATATCAATAAGAGGTAGGGTCTTAAAAGCTGCGAGGGTGAACGAATGAAGTGTAATATGTCCGGTAGAGCGTCGTCGACCAATATGGCCGGTATGAGTTGAATACCGAGGCAGAGTAATACAAGTTGGGAATATGACGGCAGTCACTCAACAATGGAAGCCTAGGGTCGGCACCTCGGGGTTCCGTTACAGGTTATGAATATCGGGCGGTGGATGAAGGGTCCACGGTAAGACGATCCGGCGTAAGTAACGACTAATACTCTAACAAGAGACACCGGAAGGACAGAGACAATTTGGAATCTTATGACCGATAAGGAAGAATGATTATCCAGGGGATGAGGAGGGGAAGAGGTTGTCTCTGGTCTGATTCCCACATGTAACGTCTCCAGCCAACAACGTTACCAAAGTAGGTAAGAGGTAAGACTGTGGTTCGAGGCTGATGACAAGACAGATCGAATACAAGAAGCCTGTACCCGGGGAAAGTCTCGGTCCTATGGTCTAGATGGCCTAGATGGCGGTAAGAAAGGGGATTTATGACCGGGATCCAGGTTTATATGTAGATGTCAATGTTTTCCAAGGGTCATCAGGGCGGTTATAGTTGTCTGAAATCCGAGAACCGAGAAAGGCTTCTGTTTCAATGATGGTTGTGTGTTGGTAGTAGGCGGTTTAATGTTGCTTTCTATATAATACCGGTAAACTGTATGTGAACTATATGTAACCTGTTAGAGATATTGTACCTCTTGGAGCTCAACGGGATCGGTTTTCGTCTTGTAGGCTGAGGCAGAACCAGAACCACCAAGTTGACCAAGCCGTTTCCCAGTAAAGCATACCTAAGGGTCCCACCACAAGGAGATAGTCGGTTTAGACCATAATAGACCACAAAAATATCTACCTAAATATGGTCTGAACTCTCTAGGAAATGGTCAAAGGGTCAAAGGGTATTAGCAAAAGTGAAAGATGATTGGGATGGTGACTGTCGTGTTGTCTGTGGGGGTATCCCAAAACGAGCAAGTTTTGATTGGCTGCTTGGCCCAAATGGTGCTGACTTCGAGTTAGATCCTTCACTTTCCCTTTCCTCTTGAACAGGGATTATGCTACTACATGTATGTAAGTACATAAAGTATATATGTACTGCAAGTACCCAACTTATGTACTGCAGAACGCGCTAATCGGGGGGGACGGGAGCATTAAAAGGGTCCTGCAGAAGATGCGTATCATCTACATCCAATGACACCGTCAATACCTAGGTAACCATAGAATCAATTTTATGGAGGGGCTGAAAGGGGAGGTAGGAGGGGCAGAAGGGGGCTCGCAGTTAAGAAAACATGAAGTTTGTGGTTTTGGGAAACGTGGGGCTAAAAATCGAAAGCACGTACCTTTTATTACAGTATAAGAAAAAAAAGGATACGTCATTTGGTCACATATCGGTTTTTCTTCTTCCTCAAGCTTGCTTACAAGGCATTTTCGGCACTTGCTATTGATATCTACCTAGGCAGGTACAATATGGAATATGGGCTTATGACAGCATGAACGATAAAATGCTATAAGAGTCAACCACTTTCCTATTCCGGTATGTCCCCAGCATCAAAAGCACCAACCTTATTATGTGCCTAAAATCTAAAATGCAATGCGGAACTTTGGGGGGGCTCTCGAGTTGACGGCAAGTGCCTTACGTATATTACTTGCTTATAAGTACAAGTACATAGGTAAGGTAGGTAGGTATGTAATCAAAGATGCGGCTCTTGGAGAACAAAAACATATATATGGTATCTATCTATCTTAAACCTACCTAATTCATCTTCAATTGCTTCAATTCCGATTACCTTTCAAAGAAAAAAAGAGTTCGCCAGATCCATAGCGCGAGAAGTAATATTCAGTAATTATCTAAAAAGACCAAATAAATATTATCAACCTGAACCTCGTGAGGCACGCATAATACATCGTGTCATTGGTTATTGGTTACTATTATCTATGCAAATATTTCCAACGCTTACCTTAGGTACTCATATATCACGGCGTAAGCCCCATCGCAACGAGTTATAGCAAGCAGTTATGTATTGTACTTACACTCAGACCAGTTACATGGTATAAGCCAGCATACGAGGTAAAACACCAAACTAAATGTACGCCATAAAGGGGACTCAAACATATACATGGGTAGCACCAACGTATAGTATCATTGTCATTATAATCATTGATATTATTATTACAAGTGCCTAATGTATTCGGGAAGGAATAGAACGACACATGTACAACATGCGCCTCTAATTCTGTAGATCTATGTAATATGAAAACTCGGATATCAAATGATAGTCCCGCGACGCCAAGTGACATCTAACCTCGATCAGATTCGAGATTCGAGATTCGATACCGCCGGGATGGATAACCAAACCCTAATTTTATTGAGCTCCGGGATAATTCCAATTGGCCCATCTATATGGCATCTCGAGTGCTTCCACCTCCAGGATTTATAATTACCCTAGACCTATTTGAGAAAATCATCATAGCTACCTTACTGGCTAGCCATTGGCGACATCGCTATTTCCCAAGTATCAAGGTAGATATCATGCTCGAGTTATACCTTTGCTAGCAAACTAAAATCTGTCGAGTTTATTGCTTCCCTCGCACAACGTCTCGTCCCGGTTCGCCGGTAGGATCTACTCTTAACCCCCCCCCCCCCCCCCCGGGTCACTCTTAGAGAGATGATATCAATCACTTTAGGTCAACACATGTATCAATGCAGAACCAAATATACACGTACTGTCTCACGAAGTTGCCCCTAATACCTGGTTCACCATCTGGCTGGCCAATGACGCCCATACACCACGCCTTCAAGTCTTGTAAATACGAAACATCTATTACACAAGAAGGCGTGCCCCTCTGACTGCTTAAACCACTCTGCGTGTAGCTAGTGAATCGTAGAGGTCTGCTAAGAATTTCTGGCGGCCTGGATATGTTGGTATCCCGACTGCACAAGCGTCATCATCACGGCACATAGCCATTGGTATTTTTAGTGAGCTTCAAGTACGAGATAAAGCCATCAACAGACCCTGCTTATCAGTCACTCTATATTTGATAAAGACAACCGCATTCAAATATAAAGCACGGTCTAGGTCCGACTCTCCTAACGCGGGACCTATGTTTGCACAGGTAAGGTTTGATTTTGTTGATAGCCCTGGTTCGTTGTCAATGGTGTATGAATGGGATTGACTCCGTGCCTTGCGCTGCCAGATCATTTTCCATTGTCAGAGTTATCAGAGTCTGCAAACATATCGACGGCTCTCATACGCCTCCTGGACTGGGCCCTAGCAGATTGCTCCTTGGACAAGCTACTTGAGCCGGCCTTTTCAGTATCTTCAGCATCTTTTCCTTCGCCGCTTTGACTGCCCTTGTCCGCCGTTTTGCCAACCGAGTTATCTCGTTCCGCATCTTTCGTTTCGCTTTCGTCCATGGGTTCTCCATCTTCACTATCATCCATTGGAACGCCATCGATGTCGGTATCCAGGTCCGCCTCGTCCATTGACATATGCTCATCCATCGCTTCACCATCCACGTCGTCAATATCCATCTTAGCGGCCTCGTTATCATATCGCACTTCCCCAGTTGCAAGTAGAGGCACGAATCCTTTCCCTTCGATTTGTGTCGTAGCCAAACTACCGGCTTCCACAGTTTTCCATTTGCCTTTCCTAGCGGTCTCATCAACCTGCTCCTCCTTCTTCGCACTCGGGGGATTTTCAAATGTCTCATTGAAGAACTGTTGGCTCTCGTGCGGAAACGCGCACCATCCTTCCCACAAACCTAATACTAGCTTCACACTTCGTTTCCATTTATCTGCTCTCAGACGACCCCAATTGAGGCGTTCTGCTGTAAGGCCCAAAATCTCAAAGACGTTGTTATTTTTAAAAGATACCTCGAAGAGCTGGCGGTACCTCCAGGCATGCCGAACCCCGCTCGTAGCGGATGACGAGAGAATATCGCTCACGACATACAACCCAATAAGACTGGCAGCACTTGTATCCTGGGTTTCGTTTAGCTTTGCATTTGCGTCGTCGGGAAAGGGTGTCGAGTTGAGCGACTCTCCGTGGTCTTCTCCATTTTTACTAGGTTTACCACGCTCTGGGTTTGCCAAAGTTAACGCAAATGGCTTGGTGATGTTGGCCACGATCATGTTTACAATCTCGTCTGCGCCTCTGCTTGCATGGGTAATGGCAAAAGTTGTCACCCTGGCAATGTCGCCCTTTCGAATCTTTGACAATGTCGTCGGGAGACGAGCTAGCAAATGCGTCAATCTTGTTTTGTCGAGTGGGTTCAAGTAAGTATTTTCGTTATCGCCACCATCCACCGGTTTGTGCCCTTCGTCCTCATAGTCTTCTTCGTCAGAAGAGTTGTACTCCGAGTCTGATACGAACTCGTCGATAGCAGTAGCGTATTCGTAGGGAAGATCCTTTTCAGGTACCCTCCAAGCATGGCTACCTTCGAATAGCGGTATGTATTTCCCCTGTCGGCCGACCTTGGCTTGGCCGCCTGTGATCACCTCCCAGAGTCGCCACCGATACCAGACTCCACCTTCACTGCGTGCATCCCAGAGCCAGGCCCATTTCTCTTCTTTTTGTACATCGGGCCGCGACATCAAAAGGGCCTCAAACTCTGGGCCATGATCTAACACAGATTCAACGACTTTATGAATTAGTTGGAGTTGTTTGATATCTTTCGGCGCTTGCACTGGGACGTGGAAGATAGTTCGACTGATTGGTCCTCCTCCTGAACTATAAGACGTTGGGGGGGCAAACCCGCGGTGAAACCCACCCGGATGATGAGAATTACTATCATTAGCTTGCGGGACCGGCTTTGCGCCGAAGGCATGAGAGGTAGACGAAGATGTGAGACTCGACGGAGCCATGGCGGATACCACAGCAGACGATAGATGCCTGTGTAGCGACAGATAGAAACCGTAACCGAGATATCGATTCTGTAGAGAACTGACCGTCGCGTCGATATCTGTAGCGGGGGTTTCCTTAGACAGCGTAACAATAGCGGCTATTGATTTTCTCTCTGTGCTTCCTACAGTGGGGGGTAGGATCTTCACATGCTCTACAGTTAAGCTCGGCGGCATAAGAGCTTTTATCACTGCAAGAGATGTCCCCGGTGGAAGATTCGCTAGGCGGAGCGTGGGCTTCGCTATAGCCTTTTGCTCGGCCAAATCCCTCGATCTCGTGTCGCCTTCGTCATCGCTCGCGTTAAAAACTTTGGAAATAACCTTAGGTCGTGGAACATGGCCACCGTCGCTATCGTCATCGTTGTGGAATCCAAGCCGACCCCGTGTATCATCCGCAGCTCTCCTATTGAATCCCTGTTGATAGTTGTCGAGCCTCCTCTTGCTACCAAAGGACGTCGGAGGGGGGCCCAAAGATCCAGGGCCACTCTTCAAGCCTGGCCCACCGCCAAAATATCTCTTTGGCGGTACTGGCCTACCACCTTCGCGACCGGGAGGACCTCCTTGAGGTCGAGCACCAAACGCAAGTGGTGGACGGGAAGTAGGGCCTGTATTGTCATCCTCGTCATCGTCGTGATCGAAACTCTTAACAAAACTCTCGTATACTGCAGCGGTCTCAGCAGCTTCTCTCTTACGTTTGGCCTCGGCATCAGCTTTCTGCTTCTCGAACGCGGATTGCTTCGACGGCTTCTGGAGTTTCGCCTCGACGTCAGGAAAGTCGGTAAGTTTCTTAGAAGACATTATCGGTAAATCGGTTAGAGTAGTATTACGTAGGATGTCGCATTTTGTGAATAGTTTGCTTTTGCATTGGCTGGTTAGTAGATGAATGGTGGTTTGCGCTGGAGATTTAGAGAAACATTGAAGGTTGATGAGAATTGAAGATAATGGGGATGGGTACAGAAGTATTCTGTACCCTCTCACATGCCTACATACAATGTACATGTATGTATGTCTCCCTTGGTTACACATACATAACCTTAACCTTACATAGGTAGGTAGGCACTTACATAATACTTGCATATGTACCTAATGTACGGATTAATAAAGCATCTGCAAGGTTTAGCAGGTGCTCCGGTACCTAGATACATAGCATAAGGTGGGCCATCTCCACGATCCAATCGTAGGTATGGTCAACCAAGTTATCTTACACCTGATTCTTACATCTACATACAGTACATGTATCTATCTAACCTAGTCAAATTAAAGGCGCTACATATGTATTCAAGTGTGGAGCATCTCGACGTGGTTCCCGCATCGGCGCCAGTGCGGGGAGTATAAGGAGTCCAAATATATATAACTAACTAATTCATAGTCCATATCTTCTTCGAATATTAACTATCATTGTTAATAACTATCTTCGTAACTCTCATATCTATTTCTTAGGAAATAATTATTATGCCACTAACAACGCAACTGTCGCCAGAAGGTTTGTCTATGACTGAGGTTCTATCCTGTCCAACCCCAGTCCTCCAAGACATCACTCTCGATCCAGATATGGACCCCAAGCATGACCCCCCTACTAGCATCCTGATCATAGGCGCCGGAGTATTCGGACTTAGCACCGCCCTCGCGTTGACCAAGCGCCCAGAGTTCGCGTCTACCTCTATAACTGTCCTAGACCGATCCCCGGAGCCTGGTGTGTTCCCATCCCGTGACGCTTCCTCTATCGACTCGTCGAGGATCATCCGGGCCGATTATGCGGATCCGGCCTACGCGGCCTTAGCATCAGAGGCACAAGTCCATTGGCGGCAGACCGATCCGGCCTCTCTCGGTGGCGAGGGGCGGTACACCGAGTCCGGGTTCATACTAGGAGCCGACTCCGAGCCGTTGGTGCGTGATAACGGGTCGTCAACCGGTCTTGCCTATGCTAGGAGGAGCTGGGTGAATTCAATGGCGCTTGCACATAAGGAAAGACGACCTTTAAGCTCAATTCGCGTTTTGAAGAACCAGTGGTCTATCGGCGGTACGTAACGTCGAAAGTCTATTTCATCCTCTCACTTACGACCAGAGCCAACATTTCTTTATCGGACCAATCCAAGAGTCTTTATTCTGATATATAAACCCTCTAGACTCCTTACCAAAATGAGAATAAATATTAACTGACCAATACAGTGGTGTCTGGCACGGGAGGCGAGTTCGCTTACTGGGGATATCTAAATACGGCGAGTGGGTGGGCAGACGCCGAAGCAAGCATGAAGTGGTACTACGAGCGTGTCACTGCCACGGGTCGTGTAACCTTTGTTAACGGGACCGCCGAAAGCCTCGAGACAAACGAATCGTTAAGGAGGGTTACCGGGGCGCGACTTAAGGATGGCAGCACGCTATCAGCCGATCTCGTAGTCGTCGCCGCAGGCGCTTGGACACCTACGCTAGTAGATCTCTCGACACAGGCCGTGGCCACCGGCCAGACTCTAGGCTATATGGACATCACTGAAGAAGAGCAGAAGAGGTTAGAAAAGGTTCCAGTGATGCTAAACGTATCGACAGGTCTCTTCGTGATACCTCCGCGTAATCGTGTGCTCAAGATTGCAAGGCATGCATATGGATATATAAATCCCAAACCGGTATCAAAACCACCCCTAGGAGTTCCCGGCTCGACAACGCCGGAGCTAATCTCACAGCCGTATACGCATCTCGACGATGCTAGTCTCTCGATTCCAGCGGATGCCGAGAAAGTACTACGGGATGGTTTACAGAAAATAATACCTTGGCCAGAATTACAAGATCGACCTTTTTCCCGAACTCGACTGTGCTGGTATACAGATACCGCGACAGGAGATTGGATAATAGATTACCATCCATATTGGCAAGGTTTGTTTGTTGCTACAGGAGGAAGTGGGCACGCATTCAAATTCCTACCAGTTATTGGTGATAAAGTAGTAGACACGATTACAGGAAAATGCCCTGAAGAACTTCGGAGAAAATGGAAATGGAGATCCTCAAATACTACCGAGATTATAGTAACAGAGGACGGGAGTCGGGGTGGACAACCGGGACTAATACTAGAAGACGCAATGAGAACATAAACCTACAAATCCAATCTAACTAGACAAATCACAAAGATCACGAGTCAAAACGCGGGAATGCCAATTATAAATCGATGGGTGAATAGATGTATGATTTGCTTAAGGAAGAACCTCAAGTAACGATAATCCATCTCTGAAGTCCAAACGATGTTCTGTAACGGATCGTGAGGAATACGCGAGATGTTACTAATATGTCCAGACGGATCATGACGCATACAACCAATATCACCCCTACTCGCAAGCTCTGCGGAGTGTATCCGCCAAGATGGATCGCATCCACCTCATCATTATCACCCTCGTAACGCAACCACCGATACTGACGGGCAATTCGAGGTATCACAACCTCCACCGACCCCATACGACCAATTGTACAGCCCTACGCCCCTCGCACGAATTAATACGGCACCATCGACCTGCGCGAATGCCGCCGGAAAGTATCACGGTGCAATCTAAGCCGTTAATCCGGATCTGAAGAGGTTTTTCTTTTTTTTTCCTTGTGATGTGAAATCATCCTTATTCCTTCCAGTGTAATAGGTCCTTCCTATGTTAAACGCCGATGCAATGCTATGTGGGAAAACGACAATGATACAATTGACGAAAGTCTGTGGGCTTGGTCTACCCAGGACGACGTCGTGACTCGTAAGACGAAGATTCATAAAATCATAAAGAGTCGGTTAATTTACAAATCCCGAATAGGAACCGAAGGGAAGAGTCTAGTGACGAAGACGGCTCGAAGAACACGTGTCAACCATGAAGTCAATGTTTTAAAAGACTCTAGACCTTGCGGAAATCTAAACTATATTAGTAACAGAACATAAGCACAGCCTTGGTAAAACTTACCTTGCAGGACGGGATAAATCATTTCGAACGCCTGGTAGATCTCTTCTCGGACTTTCGCGCCGGTCAAAACGATCTTACCACTCACAAAGATCAGGAGGACGATCTTAGGCTTAATCATGCGGTAGATTAGACCAGGGAACAATTCAGGTTCGTAAGAACTGAAGTTGTGATGGCGCGAAGCAAGACCCTCAAGTCTAATGGGAAACTTGATATCGCAGCTGCCAACAATATTCTGGATCTTAAAATCGCTGAACTTGGCATTGAAACCGAGCTTCTGGATAATACGAGCATATTTACGCGAAGCAAGCTTCGAGTCATCTTCCGATTTTGCGCCAGTAACAACCATCTTGCCAGAGGCAAAGATCAATGCCGTTGTCTTTGGCTCACGAATACGCATGATAACAGCAGCGAAACGCTTGTATATGTCAGCAGAGCTCTCTGAAGAACAAAGGACTAGGTTCACAGTACCTTAGGGTTGTATTCAGCGTTGCGAGCATGGAGGGCAATCGTCTTCAAATCCAACCGGCACTCAAGGTTGACCGTAGCGACGATGTTCCTTTATCATGCGCGGTGAGTTTAATGTCTATAAAAATGCGACATAGGTTATACATACTGCAAGGTAGGAGTCAATCCACTTCCTCCTTGAACAGCCGCAGGTGTAGCAGCGGGTGTGGCGGGAGTCACCCCGGTACCGTTTGCAGCCTGCTGAGGAGCGCCGTTTACGGGTCTCTGGCCGTTCGCCTTCTCAGCATCGAACGAAGGCGGGGTGAGATCACCAGCACCCCCAGGGAAGGATAGAGAACCAGGCGCGGTAAATGCCTTGGCCTGTGCGGCAGTAGATGGATGGGTATGAATGGTTTCCATCTTGCAAATGAACGCTCAGGCTTTTTAAGGTTGAGCGGATCCGAAGAACAGACCTACGAGATCCAAATGGTTAGAAAATAGTTTCCAAAGAATCAGTGCGCATCGGTATCAAAAAGGCGCGCGAACAGCGGAAGATGTAGCGGGGATAATGACAGAAAAAGAAACAATTATGAAGTGCAAGATTGATGGTGGGTTTAAATATAAAACAATTGGTATCGTCGGAACTGGTGATTCAGGTGTCGATGAATCAGGTGGTGAGGGGCAACGGAGCGACAGTGAGGCAGGTGGAAGTGGGGGTTTGCTAGGTATTGGGTAATTGACATTGGAAAGTGGGAAGTGGGAAAATGAGGCAGTCAAGATACCCGGTCAGGGCCGATTTCTACAGGTATATTTGGTTTCCGCGGTATCGAAGAAACTGACTTCGTACTGGGACAAATAAATAATAAGAAATAGGCAGCCTTACCAATTAGCGTGGAGATAAACAAGCAAATGTCTCCCCAGCACAGTAGAGGCTAGTACGACGATACGGTCGTTAGATCTTTCGATCGGTTGACCTGAAGGCACACACACGAGATGTAGATATCAGATGTCAAAAGTCACTTCTCGATCAAATCGGAGAAGTTCGTGAGCTTTGCTTCCACTGATTCGAAGCGCAAGATATACGAGTGACTGTCGAGGTCGAGGTCGAGGGATCTAAGATAGGATTCGACGACAACGACGGCGGTGGAAACTCGGTCTCTCGCAACGACGGTATCGAGGGAAGGCAAATCCTCAGCCTTGTGTTTTTCTTCAAAACTCGTCTTCTATTGTTGATCTATCTTCTTCTTGGCTACACAGCACCGTGATCCGTGCGTGTGAAATATGCTCGAGATCAGGTGAGACGATTTACTCTTCCTGATGCAGATGCTCGAATCCCGAAATAGGCGAGCAACTGGTACACAAAGGACCAACCTAGAGGATGGTCACTTTGATTTTACTGGTGTCGCCTGTTTGCTTAATTTAGCGAACAAGCACGATACACGATGACAACTTCGTTTTGGCCCCAAAGCAGATGATGTAGCTAACAATAGTCTGCGGTGTGACGTTGAAGTGATGAAGTGAGTTGAGGAGAACGCGAGACGCGGGGCAAAATGTAGGATAAAATATTGCGAGGTACGTACTCTCTCAATCACTGTTAGAAGGAAGGTGGGGTCCCAACAATGGTGACGCGGTTATGAGAGAGTGAATAAAATGAAAATATTACGAGGGTCAGACTCAATTGACAGGCAATTGCTGACAAAAGGTCCGTGTTGTGGCTAATGCACTTTCTGTTGTGGCTGAGGGTAATTATGAAGAGGGGACCTTCGGGTCGGGGATTCCGCGCGCAAGAATTTTCGAAACATTGAAGTTGAGGGGAAGCCGGCCAATTTATAATTTTTGGAAGCAAGCACTCTCGTGCAAGTGCGCACTGACTTTTTAGGTAGGTACGCCCCAGTGTGGCGGAAACCTACTATCCACTGCTCCCTGCTTCCCTTCCTTAGCGGCCACGCTAGCATCAATGCGTCCAATCATGTCTCCTCCCTCGTCCCTTATTTTATCTTCCTTAATCTTTTTCTTTCCTTGCTCGTCACTCTAAGTTCTTACCAAGTCCTTCTCATGTTCCTCGTCATCGCACTATTTCATCCACGCAACCTTCCATCCCGTGCACATTCGCGTCTGTATCAAACACCACTTCTTATTCTACATTCTACACAATCTAACGAAGTTTCCTTCCGCTCATTTGCACCTTTCTCTCCTCTATTCTAATACTTACTAATATCTAGGGCAAGATTATTATTATTATCGACAAAACTCCCGTCCTGCTTTCGTGGCTGCAGAAACCCATGACTCGGTCGATTACATCCACAACCTACGCAGAAGCATCGTCAGTCCGTATTACGGCTAGCAGCTCGCACTGGGCTCGGGGCTATTGGATAGCCACCAGTCCAGGCTCCTAAAATCTTGACGGGGTGTGGTGGGTGTGAGCAGGACGGAGTTTTAGACCCCAACCATACCACACCCTGCGAGCCTGGTTTACCTGCCACCCCTAGCCCTCTTCTTTCTCCCTGAAACGCACACACAACGCCTCCTCTTTTACCCCTATTATCATGCTTTTTGTGTTTTGATTGATGCTTGGCCAGTATCTCAGGTTTCGCTCAGCCTCCACAAGAATGCATATCTGTTCACATTTCATCGTGAATGGGAAAACCCCAAACAATGGTTCAGGAGAGGATTACGTAGATTAACAAGCTCTTTCTTTCCTGCTCCGCGAGTAAACGAGACGGCAAATTGTTAGGTTGTGCTGCTGTCGCACTCGAGCATCCTACAAATTTTATTTTATCCCTCTTTTTTTTGTTTGGCTGTGATGATCCCTTTTCCGTGGATCAATTGCAGGTCTCATTTCGGTGGTTTCGGAGGTACCAGCCGCAATCGCAATCGGAGAACGCCACCCTTGACCAACACTTTTTTTCGTCATTTTTCCTTTTGTTTTTTTTTTTCTTGCCGCCTTTCCCTTTTAGGAATGGAAACCCGTATTGAATCGACCAAAAATCTTGCTCATGGACCAACTTTGCGTTCTTCAAAGCTGAGTTCGCTAGAATAACCTGCTCGAAAAGCTAGAGATTGTTATCTTCGCACTTATCCTTTGGGGATGTGCGCTACCGTTTTGGTTGGGAATGGAGCGACACGATACTTGATCTCACTCTTGTGCTCGCCCCTTGTTTTAGTATCCATTCCACTTGTGGTTTCGTATTCTATCGGTACACAAGGCAGGACCTTGTTCTACATAGTGCACAGTACTAAAGTAGCCTTCAGGCAAATCCCTGCCAGTGACCACACGCATTATTTTCTACCTAAAGGAAGAATTGAAAAAGATTGAAAATTTTTCAAGGAAATCCTCCCTCGGCTACCAGCCTCATTCAGCTGTACGTAGCGTACCAACCAGACAAGCCAAAGAAAAATTCCTTGTTATGCATACCTTCTTGGCAACCCTATGACTCATTGATAACCCTTTTTCTTAGAGTTCAATGCAGCGGTCGGTGTACTTGTCCAGTGCATATAACTACCTAGGTAACTACAAACTAAACTTTTCTTTTTCTTAATATCCATATGTATGTATGTATGTATGAATTTGAATTATATGGAGTGGTCTTAGATAATATCTCTAAATCCTGTTCTATCGGACTCCAGGTTCGTATTGGTAAGTTGTGATTGGAATCGTCCGCCGCTGCTGCCTGAGCGCTAATTTTCGCGCTGGTAAGAACGCAACATCCCTGTAAGACTAGGAGGCTTGGCTCGCTCGGTTGGTATGGTATGTGTATGCAAGCGCTCGGTACTCTTAAATCACCTGATGTAACCATAACGGTCTGACAATGCAAGCTGCACAAATTTGCGGCTTGAACATGCAAGTAGCCTCTGGTAACCAGTATGTATGCACTGTGTTCCTAGATTGTCCCTTGATTTCTTGTTTCTTATCGATATACAATAATAATATTAATTTATCCCCTCCGCATAACCAGTCAGGATACAACTCCTCAAAAGCTTTAGTTGAATTGTCAATGATACGTACGGTCTCTCTTATAGAAAAGTTCTCATACTTACCTACATACGTGAATATAGGTACTTATTTTAGCTAGTAGTAGCCCTTTAGAGTTATAATGTTGCGAGTATTAAGTCTTAAAGTCAAGATTAGTAGGTCTTACAAGTACCAGAAGTAAAAACACTACCACACTTTCAAAGTTAAGTGTAATATAGTATGCTTTTGATGTATGAATTGTTTTTAGCCAGTCACCTAATCAAGATGATCATTATGACAATACCTAATATTGTAGGTCTATTCTCCAAGGATACAAAAGCTAGATGAGTTGTATATTATATGGTAAAAAGCTAGGTAGCATCAGCTAAAACATCTTAGTTAAGAGTCGATGACATGAGTTGGTCATATTAACTTGCTTAAAGCAAATGTTATTTTCTAAAAGTATACATGCCTTCCCGTTAAGCAACAGCTGTTGGTTATATTATAAAGGTTAAAGTTGAAGCATGTCTGTGATTAAGACAAGTATATGGTTAACATAATAGTAGATTTTTAAAAACGATATCGTAATAATATTACTAGGCAATTACTTGATGAAAATGGAACTTGCAAAGCTTATACATAAGAACTTCGTGTGAGCACACGCATCAGGCTGTTAAGATATGTTCCATTTCATCTCTTATTACAGTTGGTGAAGCTACCGCAACAGTAATTTTCACCAGTCAGTAAAACTAAATGATGAAAAACTATCCATCTTGCATATAGTTGACATTATTGCTATAACACCTAAAAGTCCGTACAATACTATCATATCATCATTCTTATTCACTTAACATGATGGCCTTTTAATTATTCGTGGGGCACCTTCGTAGCCCCGGTTATTGCTTCAAGCCCCGACAACTATAACAACCTCAATGCTAAGTCTTGAGCAAGATTGTAGCTAGTGACACACCCTAAGAGCTAGTACAGATAAGACTGAATAATATTAAACGATATTATATCTTTCGTAGGGATATGCGATGCCTTCTAGTTACAGTGTAGCCGTGAGTCTTGTGTGTCGTGGCACATCCTCCGCGCCCGATCCACGATTCGTGCACAAGGTCCCTTACTGAAGTCGTATTCCCCTAATAAATCTTATATGCGGGTATAAGCAGTTTTTATTTTTATTTTTATTTTTTTGGAAGTTGTGTAAAGGAAGAAAGCAGGGTTAAGGCAGATCGTACTCAGTTGTCAATATTTTCCTTCCCCTGTTTTTACAATTGTATTAACGAATTCTAGATCCTGCATGCCGTGTAGTTTTACAAGTTGTTAATCTGTTTCTAAGATTAGTAACAATGAATGCACGTGTTCGTTATGGATGGCAGATATACTGTATTAGATCGGTTTAGCGAAGACAAGTCCGATCGGTCGAGGTCACCGACGCCCAATCCCGATCGTCGTCGGTATACGGCGGGTCTGCAAACGGAGGTGGGGGTGGATGAGAACCTACAAGTCTTTGTATGTA